AGGTATGCAACCAGTTATTTTATGTTTTTAATGAATCAACATTACTTTGCAGTTTCACTTTAACGTGGCGTTTCAAGTCTTGTCAGAAAAGTTAAATTAGACTGTAAATGATTCAATGTTGAAAAGCAAGAAAAAGGGGAAAACATCTGCAGGAAGTGATAACTTTCATAGTCACTGTACTTTCCATCACGCCTATTAAACCCATTTAGATTCCCAAGCTAAAGTATTATTGCATAAAGGCGTCTAATGTGAATAAGTTGCGATTGCCATGTTTACAGGGAAGTGAAAACTTTATTACCATGTCCTCAAACAGATCCCTGAGCTGATTCCACTGATGACGGATCTTGGCCGCCGCCTTCTCGTGTTTCCGGTTCTTGCAGGAGTAGTTACCCTTCATCAGCTGACCGACGTATTCTTTCACCACATGCAAGTGCAATCGACTCGTGAACGTCTGTTTCCATGAAACACAAACAAACAGACAAACACAGAGAAGGTGATGAGACAGAATAACAGGATGGCCACGGGGAAGAAAAACCAAACAAAAAAAAAAAAGGGGAAATGTGAATGAAGGCGTTGTTGTCTTTATTTATCCATCACACGACCAGCAGCCATCGGATCATCTGAACTTACACCTCCACTTCCACCTATTCATTCGTCCCGCTTGCTGGGAGTATTACTCCTCTCACAGCGTTTTCTGCTGTCACAGCATCCGGCCAAAAACAATGGTGCCCAACTGATTCACTGGAACTTCCAAGAGGGTCAACGAAAGTAAATAAGGATTTCCTTTAATTACCTCCAAAGTAATTACACATCAGTACGAGAGCCTTATCACTGCTGTGTATTTTTAGCTGATACTCTGCATGTTTTGTGCTTATTGAACCAATGGTAACCCCACAAAGGTCATTTGTCAAAGTTGTGAAGGACTAATCTAATCAGGACGCCAGTGAATGCTTGGCACCAGCCGAGGCCTTTAATGGATTGTTTGTGACATTTTGGCACAAAGCTTTGCTGGTGAATTTCATCGTGTTTTCATTGGAATTTTCCCGAGCCGCCTCCTCCCTACCTGGACGTGCGGAGGCCTCATTAGGGCGCAGTGCTGGGAAAGCTGCTCCGTCCGACGGTAAAGCTGCTCGAAGTCTTCGTCGTTGGTGAGCCACTTCCTCGTCATCATTCTCCTCAGGTACGGCTGGAAAAACAACTTTCAATGTAAGAAATACACCATCTTATTGCACTTAATGCACTTTTTAAGCTTTACTCTGCAACGATTTCAGGTCTGTAGTGTTTTAATGTTCGCCTGTTTATATGCTAATTTGGACCAAACTTTTGCATGCCTCTGTGTGTTTACATCAGAGATCTCCAACTCCGGTCCTCGTGAGCTACTGTCCTGCAGGTTTTGGATCTCCAGCAGCTTGTTAAGCCTGTGAATGATCCAGTAATGTGAGTCAGGTGTGTTGCAGGACAGGAGCTCAGGAGGACCAGAGCTGGAGATCTCTGCTCTACATGTTCTTTAAAAACAAGCGGTTGTGTGCACATTGACTGTTGCTGCTCAGATTTAAAAATAGAAACAGCGTGATGTCTATAAAGCCGGGAGGAAGTCACAGATGGTGGCTGTGGTTTCTGCCATCTGTCCGTGTTGGTTTTCTTCAACCAAACACAAACCAGGTTGGTGAAAAATGGTCACAAGAACCGTCTTTCATTCAGACTCGCTTCCAGTTTTCGTATGTCCTCACTGTGCCGTTATCTACGAAGCATCCTGTTTTGAGGAATCTCAATAGTGTCTTTGATTAGTTCGGGACGGCAGGATCCCCTTTTTTAATTCCTCTTTCAGAAACCACAACAAAAAATGCCAGCTTTCTTTGAGGAAATGCGTCAGTGAAAAGCAGAACTGGGTTTTCACAGACTCGTACTTGAGCCGTACCTTTACGTCGTCTTTGAACTGGTCCTCCAGGCTCTGCATGAGCCTGACATTCAGCCCCTTCACCTCCTTCTTGAAGCCTTCCACCTCACCTGGACAGGTGTCCTGGTAGCTCTCCATGTGCTGCCTGCAGAGGGGGAAAAAAGAAGCAACAGTTCTGCCGTTACAGAAAGAAATTTGGCTTTTGTAAGGCATCAGCTCTGAACAGCTCCGGTGAATCTGACTTAGCAGGAAATTTAGCCCAGATATTTTCCATCTAGTCTGGTGAAGGCACAAACAGCTCGGCTATACTTCGTGAGAAATCTGGGTTTCAGTTAAAACTGGGGGATTGTTTGATTACAATAAATACAAACGACCAATATTTTTGTGGACCATCCATCCACCCCGACCTCCTCCTGATGCAGCTTCATTATTACGTCTACATACTTTGTTCCCACCAAACAATGTATAAAAGAATTAAAACTAGCTCCACCTCAAGCAGCTAATACAGTAAAATGTTGTTTACACGTTGATGCATTGAGTCAAAAACTATAAAAGTGTCGTCTATGATACATCTTGTCATAATAAAGCAGCTACAGCAGATAGAATGTTTAGTTTTTTTTAAGTAATCACCAAAATTACACAATTCATCATAAAATGAAACTGTAAAAACAGAAAAACTTGTTGGATTCTCAGCTTTCCAATGGTACTTGAACTACTCTCCTGTGACATTTCATTTGCAAAAACTGTCTTTCTGTCAGAAAAACGAACTAAATCTCAGTTTGGATTTGTGGAATTTCAACAAAATCACTTTAATCTACACGCAAAAACGCTCCAAAATAAAGTCTTTGCATCGTCTAGATTTTGTAAAAGTACCACCATGAGTCAACTGACAAATTGATTGAGTGGCATTTGGGTTGAACTGCAGGCAGCATGCACAGAAAGGGACAGAAAAAGGTGTTTAAATGTACACGTTGATTCTAGTTTTTTAATGGTTTGTAAAAGAAAGGAATATTTTTGTTGTTTTTTTATTAAATGTTTTTCAGCTTTTGTGGGTTTTTTTTGTCTGATTTGTGTCCTCATAACTGTGTCAAACTGCATTTTTTTAGTTTTCTGTCTCCTTCTTTGTGGTTGTTCTGTTTCCATAGAGGTGCAGGATTTTAAATTGCAGTAAAAAAAAAAAAGAGCTGACAGTGAGTGAAAAATGTGACAGGAGCAAGAAAACCAACCAGAAAGTGGCTGAAGTTCAGCAGGTTAAGTGCATTTCGTTGATATTACGCCACACAACATTTTGAAGGCAGACTTTTAAGTTTGTTTCATGGCTGGCATTCACTTCAGTGACTTATTATTTCACACACATCTTTCCTGGATCCTCCTCATGCGTGTTAATCGTTTTTCTCCTGAACTTCTGAATCATCCATCTCTTCCTGCTGCCAGCCAACACAATGGAAGCAAATAACACTTTTTTATCATCTTGGAAAAATGTCAAGACTCAACAGGAATGTGTTTATCCATAAAGTGCCACTTATTTTTCTACTTTTACTTTTTGGGGGGGATAATCCGAGACCTCGCTCTGTTTTTTTTTGGCACTGGTTTCAACTAAAAAGGAAAAATGATGAGTAATCTTCTTAATCGCTTTGCTTGGCAGAGACAAACTGGGCAAAGTGAGGAACTGTGATTTGAACCGAGCTTTCAGTATGAAGATGGGAACTTCTGATGGGATTAAAAGGTCACATGTTTTGCCCATTTTCAGAATAAAAGCCTCACATGTTCCCAGATCGTGTCTTGTAATTTTCAGGTGGTTAGTTTCACCCTGACTGTATGACTCCTCGTTTTATTCCTGCTCTAAATGAGCTGTTTCAGTGTCTTTAGCTTTAAATGCAACTGAGCTGCTGCTGACTCCGCCCCCTTCAGAAGGAAAACTCTCTCCGACTGCATTTCTATCGCCTGAAACGTTCTACCTGAGCGATCATTGAACATGGAAATATCACAGAATTTTTTGGTGAGTTTGTCAGATGACGTTGTGGTTATATAAATGCAGAGATGGCTCTGAAGTGCTGCTTTTCAATCACTAATACGCTGTCTGACAACAGAAATAGAAAAGTATGGACATAATAACAGTTTAATTGTGAATTCAGCTGCATTAAAATGCAGTTCATGTGAGCACAGAGAGCAGGAGGGAAGCTAACAACAGCTAAGTTTAGGTCGAAACAAAGCTCAGTAACACACCCAGTCCTTGTTTATTGGTTTAAATTGAAGTTTCCACCACGTCTGAATGTCCCTTTGTGTCAGTTTCCACAGCGGGTAAACATGTGCTAACACTGAGGACTTTCCTGTTGTTGTGGTGACATTGCCATCAATAATAACAATATTCAACTGGCTGCTCAGTTTCTCAGATGCTGGGAGTGCATGAACACTCTTGTGTTCACTCTTACAGCCAACAGCAGGACACTTGTTGAGCTTCGCTAATGGCTGAGGTGTTTTAGAGGAGCGCTAGCATTAGCGTAGCTTTGGCTGTGTTTTAAAAACATGTCCACAAACACCCACTCAATGTAAATAAAATTCACTAAAAAATAAACAACACATGGGTTGTTTTTTTTGTTTTTTTTTTTGGCTTATTTGTTTTTTCTTTCCTCTGGATTTTTCAGACACAAAAATATAACTAATGATTTTGACAGCATTTTTTTTTTGTTAAATACCTTTATAGTTTTTTATAGTAAATGTTTTAAATACACTCTTCTAAGTAAAAAATACATCTTATTTAATTAAATTTAATAATACCGTTGAAGCCCTGTTCAAATAACATTTTTAACTGTAATTTTTTTTAAACCAATTTACTGCTATTTCACAAATTTTCCCTTTATGTTAACTTGCTGATTTTAACTAGCAAAGTCACAAAAATAATACTAATTTACATGTTAACATGAAAAAACAGGCCAAAACTGTAAATAAAGTCCACACAATATATATATATATATACTTTGCAGCAGACTGCAAACGTCAGCAAGAAAAACAAACAGTTTTTTTTACTGTTTCAACTGTACTTTTTTTTTTTTTTTTTTTTAATTGCAGTTATTTTACTGATTTTTCCTGTTTTGTTAAACAGATGGTATCCAGTAAATTAAAGGAAAAAACATAATTTACATCTGCAAAAAAATACAACAAAAAGCAGCCAAATCTGTGAAAGTTCACTTAAAAGATCAGATTTTTTTTCACAAATACTAATTTGTTCTTTTTCAATGTGTGAATGTAAAATTACAGTTTCACTTTATTTGAAATCAGCCAAAAAAATAATATTTTACATGTACCTGTGGCATTACTTCCCACAGCTTTCACTACTTTTGAACGCTCCCTTATCCCACTTATAAACTTATTTCATCTGGCGGCTGCTTTTTTTGTCTGAGACGTTAAATCCGTTTCACTGAAATCATCTCAGTTGTGCTTTGAAGCCTCAGGGCAGCAAACCGAAAGCAGACATCAACTCTGCAGCTGCCGACGCGGTAACAAGGCGTCTGATTGTCCCTGAAAGCACCGTCCGAGTCTGCGTCTGCTATTTGCGGCCGACAGAAGCAGCTGACGAGGTTTAGAAGTTCGCCAGACCTCTGTGCTCTCAGTGCTTTCTCCTGGTGTAAAGACAGCTCTGTTCCTGCTGCAGCCCTCGTTCCTTTAAATCACGTGGGGTGGCAACTCTCACAGTATCTCTGAAACGCCAGCTTGCTCTGACCTCGTTCTGGTGGAGATTCAAACCACCGTCGTCTGGACGACTGGGAGAATCTGAATGTGAAAGTTATTTGTTTAGGAAGAGGAATGGCGCTTCGGGCTCATTTTAACGATGTTGGCAACGCTGGGAGTCTGGAAACATCCCAGCAGCCTGAAATATCTCTCAGATGAATCACCCAAACAAAAGCCCCACAAAAGATCTTCCATCAGCCCCTTCATCCTCCGACCTGCATGCTGTTTCGGTTTTCAGTTTTTATCAAGACAAGGACAGAAACTAGATCCCTAACCAGTTATAGTATATGTATGAAGCTAATTCTAGAAGATGTGTTAAAACGTTTAATGTCAAAGAAGCTTGTTTTGTTTTTGTCTCCTTCAAAATAAAAGCAGAAGAGTGAAAGTTTATTTATGTATGATTCAATCAAAGTCACTTAACGAGCTTTTCCTGGTGCCTCTTCCTCTGTACACACAGATTACTGAATGTTTAGGACTTTCAAAAAGATTTAGACATAACTCTATGAACTCCTAACATCAGGTCAGAACTGCAGCTTCTTTTATGTTTTTAACAAATCTAATAAATATGATGAACATGTCAAACTACTAAATGTTGAAGACTAAATCCTTATTTTGCAGGACTGAGTGCACAAAAATACGTATATTTAAAGATTTAAATATAAAAGAGTTGCTGTGTTTCTAGCCATGCTGGTGGTTTCACTCTTCAGGGGGAAATGTTGGATTCACACCACAAATATTTAAGGTTTCCAGATGATGAATGTTTCTAATTTTACCGATGATAAGACTTGTCCGTCTAGCGCCACCTGCAGCCTCGGCATTAATTGCAATCACTTCTTCTTGTCGAGCGCCTTCATAATGTAAAGCATTTAATTTGTGAAATACTTTGGCTGCTCTGTGAACAAAAACCTGCAGAACTTGATGCTAACTCTTATTGATCCGCGCCGATAGAACCCTGTGCAGGGCTACTGGTCCAGCTCTCCGTTTCTAGGGTCAGGTTCTACCTGCCTACAGGTCCTTGACCTAAGAGGATTCTGCAGAACTGCTAAAGCTGGTGTCGAGGAAACTCGCCTAGCTTCGAACTGCCTTAATCCAGACGTCTACCCCGCTTCCTCTAATAGTTGACTCAACTAAGTAGCCTCAGTAGTCGATCACTTTACCAGACACGCCTGTTAGTGGCAGCTTTCCTCTTAATGGATCGAGCACTTAATGGATCGAGCACTTGGTAAGTTGCTCGGTTAGATTTAGAGGTTTGGCACAACTAACCCCAGTGTTTAAAAATATTAGTTTACCCACGGCTTAGAATAACCATTAAGAACCACTATAAAGATCTTATGCACACAGTGGACTAACTTTCTGCTACCATCAGTTACTGTAAATGACTTAATGACATTTCAAACCAAATAAACCTTAAATGCAGGATCAGATATTTATTACAAAACTTTAGCAGGGGCAGAGCAATTTTTTTTTCTAGTATAACAATTTCCCTGAGGTTTTATACCGAAGGGATCAATAAAGTTCTATTCTATTCTATTCTATTCTATTCTATTCTATTCTATTCTATTCTATTCTATTCTAGCTACAGCTCTCGATGATCCTGATTAAACCAATTGATTTGAGATAAAATTATAGAACAGAGCTTTTCTGAAATAGTAACCTAATAAGTAATCTGGGGAGAGAGAGAGCCGAACAGCCCGGCCCGACCTTTTGAAATCCTTCAGGCAGTTTTTTTCCCCCATCAAAATAAATCTTATATCCTGTCAGTAAAAGCTCCACACAACAAACAGCATCCAGCGCCGTAGATAAGAGACAATCAGGGGAATTTCTAAACACAATAAATGTCCTTGTTGTCATTACAAGGACAGAGCAAGATCTAAAAATCTCCAAAATTATTATTATGTTTTTTTTTTTTGCTTTCTACCAGATAAGAATGTAGATTAGAATTTAAAATGAGTTTTTTTTTTTTTAAATTGCTATTATTACACTGAACCATCTGTGTTTTTATCTTTTTAACCTTCACTGTATTTGTACCAATGATGAGCTTTTATTTTGAAGAGCAAACACCCCAAACTGAAACACTTTTATTCTGGTAAGCTCAGCCTGTATTTCATGCACAGCAGTGACTGTGAGCTGCAGCAGGTGAGTTCTGTGTCCTCTGTCTGTGCTGCGAAACAGAAAGCGACACTGAACCCCAGACAGCTCCTCTCGGCGCTGACAGATTTATCCCAGGAGGCCGTTCAGACCGTTTATGGCTGCCGCTGTGCATCGTGGGTGTTTCCTGAAAGTCACGTGACTTACTGTAAACAGGCGAAGCTGTTGATGTAGGTTATGTGATACTCGGTCCACAGAGGCTGCGGCCTGAGGGCGCTGCAGTGGCGCCGGAACTCCGACTCGAACCTGCAGAGAGAAAAGTGATAAATCAAACCTGTCAGACGAACAAAAGGGCTGAAAAACCCAGTTTGACACGAAGCTCTGAGCTCATGTGCATCGAGTAAAGTCAAGTTTAACCCTTAGTTGTCAGCTAATCTGAGTAAATTTATGAGAAAAAAGTCTAAATTCTCTGATTGCAGCTTCTTAAATGTGAACATTTTCTGCTTTCTTTGCTCCTCTGTGACGCTAAACTGAACATCTTTGGATAAAACAAGAAGTTTGTCATCTGCAGTGATTCACATTTATCACTGTTTTCTGACATTTTAAGAACCAAACAACTCATTGATGGCTTCAGGAAATAATTTAAAGATTAATTGACACTGAAAATGATGCCAAAATGTGAATATTTTCTGGTTTCTTTGCTCTTCTATGAAACTAAAACAAGATGTTTGAGTCATTCTGGACTTTACCCAGGTAGCAGGGAAAGTTCCCACAAGTTCTCATGATGTTTAAAACTTCTA